AGCAGTACAAAATGACTGTTGAGAACTTGAGAATGGAGCTTTTGGTAAATATTATTTGTAAGAGTGTATATTTTGGGATTCATTCTTATTATACGTGTATTATCAAGTGAAAACAAAAATGATTTGGCTGTGTTTAAAACTGTCCTGGTCTCTTTGTCATTTGTTTGTTGTGTTGTTTCAAACCAAAGAGCATTTATGAATTCTATATACAAGAGCATGAATCCTAATGTACAGTTTAAAAAATCAAAATGCTGATATAAATGATGTTTATTTATTTAGGACATGGAAACTCAGCTTCAACATGACAGTGACACTGCTAATGAACAGATTCGATCTCTGGAGGACAATGTCCGCAGTGAAAAACAGAGAAGAGAGGACGCAGAGCAGGAACTCTTAAAACAAAAACAGGTACAGGGGAAAACAGAAATGGTATGGGGGCACAGAAATGGTATGTTGGGAAGCAGAAATATAGGTACAGGGGGAATTAGAAACATGTACAGGGGGAAACAGAAACATGTACATGGTAAAACAGAAATTGGTACATGGGAAAACAGAAACAGGTACAGGGGAATAACAGAAATGGGCACTACAGGGAGAAAAGTATATACAGTAAAATTTGTCTAATCCGGACTCTGAGTACTCCGGACTTTTGTCCATTCCGTCTATAAATTTTAGTCCCATGCACTTCTTAAACAAATTCATAAGAGAAAATTCTGTGTAGTCCGGATACTCTCTATTCTGTATTCCGAACGGTCATTCTGGTCCCAACTGCTCATAATTTACGATAATTATATCCTCTAATCCGGCCACACATAATTACCTGAGTTACTTCAAAGCAATTAACACCTTTCGTGGTGGATGTGCTAATCTGTGCTTACATTAGCATTATTAGTGCCATGAGAAGAACTGAAATTTGGCGGTGACACAGCCCGCTTGAAAAAAAAAATAATGACTGAATTACAGTTTAAAAAAAAACGTTTAAATGGTTTTAACTCATTTCACCAAATATAAATACAAAATATATAGATACGCGATTTACAAATCAAAATATAAATCGGGATCGAAAATCGAACGCATTTCAAAATGGCGCCATAACCCTGTGAAGAAGACGTAATTTTTTTTACTTGAAAATTAAAAGTTCTATCAAATGATTATCAAATCGTAAATATATGTGTTATGGTTATACATTGAATGGACTCTGACTTGCGAAACCGGTCCGCTTGATATATTTTATTATAATGCGTACGTGTAGATTTTGATTAAGGCAACATATTTCACCCAGACTTTCAAACTTCGTGAACTAAAAGAAAAATACAGCAAGTCATGTAGGACTATTTTATTTATAATTTCTAGACCCCAAAATATTGATTGATTTTATCATTTAATTATAATTTACTATGCATATGCTGTGCTTGTAAATAAAACCACGAAATTTCATAATATTTTCCTGCATTTTTCCTGCACTCCGGATTCTGTCTAAACCGGCCGAATTTTATGGAACCGGTGATGGCCGGTTTGGACAAATTATACTGTAACAGAAATTGGTACAGGGGAAAATCATATAGAGATACAGGTGTTAAAGAGTAGCAGGTACAGAGGGAAACAAAAATTAGTACTGGGGGAAACATAGGTACATGTATAAGGGTAAAATCCTTCTAAATTGAACAAGAATAAAAAAATCTTATTTAATGGAGAAGAACATGTATTGTAAATTCATGATAAATATTTCTTGACAGGAATTACAATACAACATTGAGGAGCTGAGGAAGACAAAAATGAATTACCAGACGTGTATCAAGGACAGAGAGGCGGAGATTGAGAAACTTAGAAATCAGGTGGGTGTATGCATGTATACACCCAACTTATATAATTACCATCCACAGAAAGGCACAAATGTTGATGGTTGTTTGACATTTTGGTCATCATTATAAAAAAAACACCATGTAGTAAAATATCAGGGCTTTTTTTTTTCAACATTCAGTGATTGTTAAATATTTCCATTTCTAATTTTTTTTCTCTGTGATAACTCTTTGAAAGTTAGGGGTAATTTATTTCCTGATAATTCTGCCGGAATGTAAATTAGGCAGGTCGATAGGTCAGGAGCTAAGGAGGCCTAATACGCATGCAAATCTTGTGCGCATCTGTCTCTGTGTCTGACGCTAAGGAGGCCAAATATGCATGTAAATCTCGTGCGGCTGCCTTTGTGTTTGACGTCAGTGGGCGAGGACTATTGAAATTAGCATGGAAGTCCTCGTGTGATTTAAGTCTATGTCTACATTTTTAAAGTCTAAATCTACGATTTTATTTCACAATGAAATGGAAATATAAGGAATCACTGTCTAGTTTTGAGAGTATGCCAGGGACATCAACAATAGTGGGAAACATGGGATAATTTTAGCATAACGGGCTTTGCCCGTTATGCAAATTATCCCATGTTTCCCACTATTGTTGATGCCCTGGCATACTCTCAAAACTAGACAGTGATTCCTTAATAATTTCTAGAAAAAAAGGAACCTTTCCAAAGTTTTCCATGCACTTTGTCATGAAATTATAAAATATGTCAGGGTATAAGTTTTTTTATTGGTTTTAATCAGATCATGACCAAGTCAATGAGTTCATCTACTGAGAATGAGTTGGAGGCTCGAGTAAAAACATTGACAGAGAGTCTTATACAGAAACAAACAACACTGGAGACACTGAGCACACAGAAGAACTCACTGGCCTTACAGCTGGAGAGAATGGAGGTAAGGAAAAAGGGGGAGGGGGGGAATTATCAGGCACGGGGCACACAGAAAAATTCACTGCTTTACAACTAGAGAGAATGGAGGTAAGAAAAAGTGGGGGTTGGGGGGTTGGAAATTATCAGATAATGGTGTTACATAGACAGTGGCTTGGTGTGTAGTTCATTTCATATACACCTGCACATAAAATATTTCCTTCCATTAATTGTTTTATCTATATAGTAAATTAACATAGTTTGAAATCACTAATTTTGATGGGGTTTAATTTTCTTGGTTTTCAAGGTATGAAGAGAGTCTTGAATTTATGTCCTCCATGAAATGTATTTTTTCACAGATATTACTACTCAACAATTCATCATCTACAAAAATTAAATCCCCATGAACCCATATTTTTTCCTCAAACCACGAAAATTTGACCTCTCAAGAATGTGGGATTTTACAGTACATGTACATACAGAAATTCTGTTTGCATAATTTATTAGATATTTCAAAAATATTTTTCAGCAACAATACAAGGATATCCAGTCCTCCTCATTGAGGACAAACACCACAGTTGTCAATGTTCACGATGATGAAGAAGGTAGGCAGTCCATGTAGATTTAGTTTATTTAAAAAAATTCAATTCAGACTTGTTATACAGATAGAGGACAATTAAGTTCAAAGAATCAATTCAAACTTAAACTTGTTATACAGATAGACTACAGTTAAATGATGCCTTAAAAAATTCTCTGATGATGTGTCTCTTCAGTAAAATGTTTAAATTAGAAGTGATTTATACTTTCTGTCTTTCTTTGACTAGCAGTCCGACAGAGGTACCCTGGCTTTATGAGGGAGACCCCAACAGATCATGAAGTCACAAAGAAAATGAAAAGGGCTGCTAATGTCATAGACAAATTCAGGTTAGAAATAATAATATATTACATGTGCACATGGAATGCATGTAACTAACAAAAAACCCAGAACTTCCAATAAATCTGATGGTAACATCTTGTTATTTTACAGCATAAGACTTGGAGTGTTCCTCCGGAGGTATCCCATAGCCAGAGTGTTTATTCTGATGTACATGGTAAGCCTTTAGTTTAGTTAACAGTTAAATCTTCAGAGCAAATCTTTAATGATGTTCCTTTACTTTTATACACAAACTGACTGTAGGATTGGCCATATCATGTTGTCATATTAAAGGAATATCTTTCGCCCTCTACCCTTTGTATTAATGCATGTGTACTCTAAATTTACACCTGTAGTGTATGTTTAAATTTTGGTAAAAGGAAATACAGTACTTAACAAAGATCATTGACGTATATGTTTGTACCCTTTGTTTTGATCATTTATTACCTCTATAGCAAATGTGCCTACTCTACCCTACCTTCTTGATCATTGAGCAACCCTATCATAATTTACAGTCTGAATGATTAAAATTTACTTTACGTTGTCCAAAACTTTTTAAGAAGGTAGTTTAAGAATAAGTGAATAGCTTGTGTACCTCTGGTAACTTACCACTCATAGCAAATTACCACCCATAGCAAATTAAAGAAAGTAATGTCAAAATTCACTTCATATATTGCTTCCACAACATGATGAAGGGTGCAGATGCATGCCTTCATTGTAGAGTTGCTCAGCTTTTAAAACAAGAAATGTTTTCTTGTGATTGAACAAGCATACATGGAAGTGTAAAGTTTCATTGTTGATATATTTCATCAATTTATTCATTGATAAAACAATTTACATGTCTTTCGTTTTATGATTTCAGGTGTTGCTTCACATTTGGGTGATGATTGTACTTTTGACATATCAACCAGAGATGCACAGTCACGGTCCAGGAAGCCCCATCCAGCCAGAACCACCCGGCCCAGGGCAATAATCACAGGGGGTCAAGGTCATTGTAACGGCTGTGATAATCCATACCTGTAGGTTCAAATAAGGGCTGACAGTGCAACAAACATATATAAAAGGGGCTTTTTTTAATATTTAAGTGCAGACTCTGTTTATGTGCTTTCAAAGCACTAAAAAATATTAAGTGCAGTATTTGATTTGCAAAGGTAGTACATTTACCTATATATTGAGTAAAATGTTTTCAATTCATTTTCCTTTAGTGGTTGAGTGGGGGAGTAGATTCCATCGTAAACAGTTTTTCCTCTGCATAATAGGCTTAATTACAAACTGATACTGAATCATTTTAAGATGCCTTTTAGCAGATGATATACAGTAGGTTCCGTTTTAACGGATAGTCAGGTTGTCAGAATAATTTTATCCGTATAGCCGAATATTGGAATAGCCGATTGCAATATTTCCGTACAAACAGCAGATCTACAGTACACAAGTAACTATTTCAACAAGGTTGTATTACGTACCTGTACTTTCGTTTTCGTTCGATGAATGTACCAAGTCAGTAAATGAATTATTTCACTTAATTTATAATAACAAGTTCAATGTGATTTTGTATGAATAATTTGTTTTTAATTGAAGTATAAAACTTATTTCTATCTCTATAAATCTTGTTAACACCAGGCACCTGTTTACATTCATCCCATTCGTTGATGGCATCCATTTTGGAAAAACGGAAGTTGATTGAATACATGACTATATTATGTAAATCATTTTTTTCCGGATTGCTGATTAATAAATTTAAAAAATATATATTTTTTCATCTTTACTTGTATGTAATGTCATTTTTATTGATGGATTTAATTTTCAGACGTATATTTATACGAAGTGCAGGTGTTTTAATTCCTAAAATTGCACTTAAAAGTGAACACATATTCAACAAATTGACCAAGCGCTACCATTTAATAGACAGTCTAATTCTGATAATTTTAATTTAATGTCCAAGCGAAGTGTCATACTCAAACTGAACAGTTCAATAATTAAAACTTCACACCAAACAAAATTGCACACAAGCCAATTATCAATGATCTAAAATAACACCCAAGCCGGTCATCACTATTGTTATCAAAACATATCGATCTAGCAGTGTCTAGTGTGCCCACTGTTAACACAGGTAAGGTGCTGGCATTTGTTCAGCCGTGACTAATCCCCTCATTATCGTGTCTGGAAGTGTCAAATTTGTGTAAACAAAGGATTTACATACAGAAGGTAGAGGTGTGAACGAGACACTTATTATGAAAATCACTATGATAGGCAAAATTTTTGTATCAGATAAAACGAAAATCCCATATTTTCCTATCAGAATATCAGATGAAATTATTAATAAATATATAAGAAATGGTTTTGTGCTCTGATATTGTATCAGATTGACCGAAATATTCGTTTAACCACAATCTGATTAAATGGAATCCACTGTACATGTATGATATACATGTATCAAACATTGTGCATTTAAAATTTCCTTCTTTCCAAGCAAAAATACTTTTCATCTTTCAATTAAATTGTAAAATACATGTATTAAATTTTTGGCATTGATTATGCTTTTTGTATTATACATGTGTATCTTTTCAAGACATTCATTTCTTGGTGACTGTAATTGTGATATTCTGAAAAAAAAGAGGGATTTCATTTACTGTCATTTTTGTAGGTGTTCATTAAAACTTGCATTGAAAATAATTGACATACATGAACATACTGTACATGTGGGTTTTTTTTATCTTGAAGACTGTAAAATCTACATAATTTCATAATTATGATTGAATGTGTCCAGTATTTAGAAGTGATCCAGTAGCATACATTTTAACACAAATGCAGCTGAACTTTTATTGATTTTCACAAAACATGAGTTATAATGATGAAATGTTGGAACAAGATCTGAAAAACGGGGAATGGCCATTCTAGCTTTTATGATACAATGTAAGTATGAAAAGTAATGAATATGTTAAAGATATGTGATAGATTACCATTTCTTAAAAGAGAAATGAAAGATATGTTGTTGTAAACAGGATATATTTATAAGACAATGATTTTATGTTGCATTAAAGTATACTGGGTAGTTTGGTTTTGTTATTTTTACAATTCCATACTTTGTCCATTATGAATAACTAAGTGCTGCAATTGGAGGGCCAAAGTCCAATTATATGGTCAAACTTCATTATCTCGAACCTTATGGGGCTGAGAAAAAACTTCAAGATATCCAAGGATTTAAGGTATTGATGGAAAAATAGAGAATATGTGGTTGGGACTCCCACATCACTTCGACATATCCATGGTATTTGAGATACTGAAGTTAAACTGTACTCAATAGAATTTTTTCTATCCAGAACAATGAAGATGCAATTTCATCAAATTAGTAAGCATTAGAATTCACTCACTGAAATAAGGATCACAGTGGTCATTCAGGATTATCCTTACAGTGGCCCAAATGTTCTGAGTGGTTCATGATTCCCAAAATAAATTATTATTTTTCAAAACTTTTCATTATTTTACAATTTTAAGTTATGTCTTAATACGCTTAATTAAAAAAATATTTTATTTTGAACAATCATTAATGGATAGGACAGTAGGCAATGCTTATACATGTATAAGTCCTCTCCAAAATTTATAGTTTTGTCTGACTTGAAGCAGAGTTTAAAACTTGGTGCTTTTTAACTTTATTTTCAATTGTAAAAGCTTTTAAATATTCACAAGTTGACTGACACATACTCTGTACATTTTGTAATGTATAATAACAAGTTACATCTGATACGTGTATAAAATATATAAAGCACTGATCATTATTTTAATGACAGAAAACTTTTTCGGATCATCAATTAAAAACATACAGCATTTAATATTAATAATCAATACCAAATTTAAAGAGAATATTGGATTCCAGAAACAAAATTTTGCCATGTTCTTGTAACAGCACAGTTTTTTCTCCTCTTTTCCAGGTAATGCTTTTGCCTTATACAGTAAATGCCATATGAAGTTCATAGTAATTAAGATTTGTGTGCAGTGAATGCACACAGCTATCTTTTGTGTCCACAGAAAATTATTAAGCATCAAAAGCAAATCTACATGTACAACTACCATTAAAACTAGAAAACAATAACTAAACTATCTATCATTTGACAATTTGAGGTTTGAAAAAACAACAACATGTAATATAACAGTTCAAATGTTTTTCACATTTCTACTTTTAAGTCTTGAATATCATGACAATGCCATATCACATTCACGTTGATCCAACAACACGTTAACAGCGGAACAATGTACCAGAGGTATTGAGAATGTTGCATATATTTTCATAAACTAACAAATTGAATATTTTGCTCAAATTACCACAGAAAATCTTCACAACATTGCTTTTGACATGAAGCTTATGAAAGTAAGAAATATCCTTTAAGGGATATCAAATCCGTAAAAGAGAATGTCTGAGAGTAATCCTGTGTGTGGGGGAGAGGGGGGAACATTGAGGGAAAATCATCTAAGATCCTCCCCGCTGATATTCTTCTTCACTCTAAGCAGCATGGTTGTTGTCCACTGGTCCAGACGGGATATACTATCGTAATCCTTGACTGAGTCGGTAAATTTATCAATATCCTCTTCATTTATTGCACTGATCAAAGTCTATTAAAAAAAAAATACATCAAAGACAAACAAGTTATATTTATTTCCCTGTTCTATGTATATTTAAAATGAGAAAAAGAATATGTAAAGGAAGTAATTAATGAATTATCATTTCCTTATTAACTCTGCTCATTCACTGTGCAATCACTGAACAGACACTTTGTACAACACTCTTCCCTGAGAAGCTTGCATCATATAAATTCCCACTGACAAATCACTTAAAATTTTGAAACATGATACCTTGGGAAGCTTGCATTCTCTGGCATTTCCATATATAGAAACAGAAAAAAAACATTTTTCCACAAGATGCTTACAATTCCTTGTATCTCCCCCCCCCCCTCCACCGAAAAAAAAGAAACCATACATACTGAATTTATTTTGAACACCCTACCTTGAGAAGCTTGCATTCTCTGGCATCCCCAAACTGTGGAAACATTTCTTCATATTTCTGAATGGCTTGCTCAGCATTCAGTGTGTCCACACACAACTGACAAAGAGCTGCCTTAAAAAAGTGGTCCTTGGCACTGTACTTCAGAAGCTGGTTATCCATGCAGGACACACCAATCTACCAATCAGATTTACCAAATCTCAATGAGGAAGAAACATGGCATGCACTGCTTTAATGCCAGACCACAAACACTGTACTGTATTAAAATCACTTAATATTCACGGGAAATTTATTTTCATATAACTACTTGAGAATGTCTGCTCACAAAAATTTCATTCAAGTGTAAAATTTGTATTATTTAAATTATTTGTAAAAGATAAATACAACAAAACCATACTTCTTTAAAATTCTGCCTCCCTTTATTAACACAACTTTAATAACATGAAAATAAGGTAACATGAAAATTCAGTGATCTACAGTAACTTACTTCTTCATAGATAGATATTGCCTTCTCATACTGTTCAAGCTGTGCTGCATACTGGGCAACTTTAACTAGACATTTGTTTGCGGAACTGTCAAAAAAAAAAAAAGAATTGGATAAATTAAATGAATGCTCAGATAATTTACATGTACAATTCAACTGGCAATAAGGTCTGGACTGAGAATTCCAACACAAGGAGGGACATACCTGTTAGATTCTTCCCCTTTATAGTAATCTGCAGCATGTTCATAGCTTGTGATTGCCTGAGAGGAAATAAGTCTGCTTTTAAAACCACATATTAAGAATATAACTGGGAATGCCTACTAATCCATTATCATCTACACTTGAAATAATTTAAATGTTGCTTTGAATGTAACTGACCTTTTCAATGTCCACCATATCCGTTTCATAGATTTCAGCAATGGAAACATGATGTTTAGCTGCTATGGTAAATCTACCCTGTTTAAAATTCAAACTTAACTTTAAACCAAGTGTTGTACATTAATATAATACATGTATATTTCTGCCATTAAGACGACTACTAGAGAATAAATATATTCAGCATCACACACCTTCCCCCTTTCTCAACATTTTTTTTTTTTAATAAATTGAGGGTCAAATTTTTGCTTTGACTCTTGTCTTTAAAAGGAATATCTTGGATCAAAATATACAGTAAAACATGCTTATAGTGAACACACTTTAAAAATTTATTGAAGTGACACCTGCAGCTAAGGAATTTTCATTCCTCATGACTTAATAAAATATGTTGTGAACTAAACAGTTATATTAAATTACGACTTTAATGAAGCTAAATCCTCAGTCCCTGGAAATTAT